TTTATGTTTTTTAAGCAAAGATATATAGTGACTATCAGTGGAATCCAGTTTGATGCACGTTTCGTCCTATGTTGGACTCGTCAGCCGAATACATCGGCATCTCACAGTTGATGTTTACTCTGGGACTCGGACCCAGTTCCGTTAACTTTAAACGCCATCACGTTATCCACTTAGATACTGAATCCTAATAGTCAACTGTTTGTGCAATAGAGTGAAGTTGAAATTCACTTGATATTGTTTTACTTGAATCTTCCCATTTTTAATTAGGACTGCAATTGATTAGTTTCTTATTGATATAAGTGCATACAATGCATATTGCTTTAATTCACATGCATTCGAATTCCAGATTGAACATCAACTGTGAGATACAGGTATCTCCATGTGACAAGTTTCAAATAGGACGTAACACACGTCAAACTGGATCCTATTGCTAACCACTATCCACTATCTTTCCTTGATAATTTATCCAATCTATAAATTATTCATTCATTTAAACATCTAATTAGTTCATTTTCATTCATTATGTTTTATACAAAACTTATTTTATGTTAATGGATTGAAATCAATAGAAGAATCATTTAAAACTAATTGTATACCAGTTTCATTCTGTAATTTACATTACCATTTCTATTCTGTTCATATTAGTTTATTGTATATGAAATTGATTTTAAACAAGAACTGTATTTCTTACGTTCCAATAAATGAATTTTAGAAAATGTCCTATTTTCTTTTTTTTCTTTTTTCTTTTTCTATTTTTTCTTTTTCTTTTTCTTCTTTTTCTTTTTCTTCTTTTTCTTTTTCTTTTTTTTGGAAATTCATTAAAAGTCTAATAATATCTGACGTTTATGTAATGCATAACTAAAATTAAAAACAAAATGAACCAGTTTTTTTTTTGTATAGATAGTTATGAAATAAGAAATAAAAAAAAAAAGAAAATCAATTCTTGTTATAAGTTGGTGGTGATTAAGATCATGAATCGATCAATATTAGATCATTATTGAAAATCTGAGAGAATTAGATAAGATAGCTGTTTTGTACCAGTATGAGATTCATCAGTAGTGCACATCTAGATGTATTCATAGTACCTCTTTACTAACCGTTACAATTACGAAATAAATATCTTAAAATTAACTTCACATTATAACAACTAGTTTTGTTTCTTATGTAATTATTCATTACCAAAACGTGATCATAGTTTAGGATACATGATTACTATGAAATTATAATTTAACACAAAATTAAACTGAAAGCACTAAAACGTGAAGTGGAAAGAGTCCGCTCTCCCTCTCGAAATGCTCTCACATGGCCACGCGTATATAGCCTCTGTCAGGGAAATCCTACTCACTGCCTTCTCGCACCACGGGTGTTGTTTAAGAAAATGAGAGGATGAAAAGCGAATGTCTGGCGGTTTAACTGGATTCCAAACCAATGGTGCACATGGGCTCCAGTATCCTGAAGGAACAAATGGCGTATGAACCAATCGTTGGTCACCGGCTACCATGGGACTGCATCTCCTTACGATGCTCTACTGTCTTGTGGATCAGACGTTCAGGTCGAAGAAGGCTCGGGGTGTGGCCCCCTAAGAAAACCACCTGCTTTGGTTTGGGCATCCGTGCAGTATCACAGCCCTCACATAAATCAAATGAGGTATGTGTGGCGCATATATATTTGTTGCCTCGTTGTACCGATATCTATGTGTTAAAATAAATAATAAATAAATAAAATTGAATAGAAAAGTTGACAAATTCAGTATTTCATATTAACAAGTATTATGAACATTTTAAACTAAAAGGCTTAAATTAATTTGGTGTTGTTTTACTTGTATCTTCTCATTGTTACTTAGGACTGTAATTGATCAGTTACATGTTGGCATACGTGCATCCTCTGAGAATTGTCTTGATTATTGCTTTAAGAATTTTAAGCAAAGATGGATCGTGTCAACAAGAGACTAATCAATTACAGTCATAAATAACAATGGGAAGATACAAGTAAAACAACACCTAGTTAATTTCAACTTCACCCCCATTGCAAAAATAAGTGGATATCACGACTCAGTAGCTAAGTGTACAATGTGATAGCGTTAGAAGCGAACGGTACTGGGTTCGAGTCCCGAGGTGAACATCAACTGTGAGATACAGGTATCTCCGGCTGATGAGTCCAAAATACGACGAAACTGAATTTCACTGCTAACCACTATCCATCTTTGCTTATAACGCTTATGAATTAAGACAATATAAAGGTAATATGCACAGTATGCACATATATCAATAAAAGACTAATCAATTACAGTCTTAAACATCAATAGGAAGATTCAAGTAAAACAATACCAAGTGCATTTATCATTCATTTTGTTCATTTTCTGTTAATATTGATCTAAAATGAATGTCATTCATTTGAATGAATGTATAGAAAACTTATTCACCCTAGTAATATGTAGTATCCATTAATCATTTGAGAAGAAAAAAATAAAGAACATCTAAAGTACATGATGTTACATTTTTAATTGTTACAAAATAATATATATATTTTATTATCGGTTACATTTTAAGTATCTTGGTCAATTAAATCAATAACTGATCGATGTTTTTCGAATACATTAAGAATTTAACTGATACTTATAACATAATAAAAAGAATTTTGGTTGTTTATATTAAATTTTCTCCAATAAAACAATGAAATCAATCTTACAGTGTTATAATTTTTGTCCTTAGCGATAATCAGTGAAATTGGTCAAAGGAAATACTGTCAGCTACAACGTAGGACCAGGCACATATATGCATCGGTCCAACTTGCCATACCGTATTAGCACAACAAGATGAAGTAGTTAATTCAATGGTAGTACTATATAAAAGATAGATTGAATATAAGGATATAGTACAGGAAGAAAGAAAGGTATAAAGCAATTTTAACTTCACAGTTTAAAGGAAGACAGAAAGTGTACACCGATGCCATTGTGATAGATTCTAAGCCATATCACCTAGTCACCAAACATTGGTTACGATAGTCACGTCGACCACAACCAAGTAGTCTGCATCTATTAACATGGCTCAGACTAGAAGTTAGTGACTTCAAGGTCTGATGACACGTTTTAGTTAAGCCGCTCCTAGCTTTCTTCCAACCATCTTCAACACCAGTTAGCATTGCGCATCGTGTTAATCGGTGTTCAGGCATACGCGAACGTGATCCTACCATCTCAGTTGATGAAGATTCATAACCTCATCAACTGATTTACCATCATTCCCAAATACCCTACGTTTAATCTCACTATTACTTACCCACCCAGTGACCCCAGGAGATGTGAGAAATATTTCTAAGACATCTGTGATGAAATACTAGTAGCTTACGAGTATCTTCTACTTTTAATGTCCATGTTTTGCAGCCGTAATGTAGAACAGGACGAACTGCCGCGTAGTGTACTCGTTTCCTAATTGATATACGGATATCTCATCCTTGCCATAAATGACGCAATTTATCAAAAGCCAAACGAGTTTTTCGAATCCGTGCTGAGATTTCGGCAGACACCAATTCATTAGGGTTGATCAGACTTTCAAGATAAGTGAAGTTGTTAACGCGTTCGACTACTTCACTCCCTATCCTTAATTCAGATATTGACGCAGGCCAGTCGATTTTTTATGATATTGTTAAGAATAGTAGAAAATGTTTGTTTTTCTTAGGAGAATAATTGCAATGAAGTTGTATTCTGTAAATTGAATAGTTTAGGGAAATTTAGATGTTTTTTAGGCGAACTGTCAGTCGATTGTGAAAAAATTGGTGGCCAGCTGCTTTCAAGGTGCCTTACCTCCGGTTGATATACCAGCAGTCTGCTTGGTTCGTGCCATTCTGAAACACCGAGAGACGACATTGTGTTTGTCGAATAACTCATAGGTAAACCTTACCCATAATTCAAATGAAAACAAAACTGGATTTTTTCCGAATGAATTAATTCCATGAGATTTTACCTAGAAATCGATCAAAGTGTTCTGAAGGATAAATTAAAATCTTGGGTCATGTTATGTATTCATTCAGATATAGAATTTCAGTGGGAAGAGACATGGATTTAAATGTATCAGTGAGTTATCATAATTCAAAACTTTTTAACACGTGGTATTTAAAATGCTCTAAGGTACCTAGCCTGTCGTATGCCTGATGGTTCGGGTTACCTGATCTGCCAAGGGCGATAAGACAGTGCATGATAATATTGTTGTGTGCTAGATTCAAAGAGAATAGTATACCATATACATGTAAATTCGCCTCATTATTACTCTGAACTCTTACTTATTTTTACACTACGTATTCCTTAATTTGCTTAAATTTCAATGGTGTTGACGCTAAATTTAATTTTGTCTTATTGACACTAATATTATTATCAGTACTGGTATTTGTTTTCCAATTAGATGGTTTAACTACTGACTGAAGTGAATTTGAAGTATAGTTGCAAACTAAAATATATATGGTACCCTTTATTGAATGATTTTCACCTCTTCAATGATATTTGAACCTAGTTCAGTCACCTCTTGTTGTAAGCTTATTGATTTTAATAGACGACTTCAATCTAAAGTTTGTACTGATGACGTCGTTCAGAAGAACGATGAAAGCTCCACGATCAAACCATCCAGTTCAGAGAACAAAACTCCGTCAAAATCATCCACCTAAGCTACAAATTCTTTCCACCATCTCAAGATCATTGACCCTACGTGATTTAGTACCTGAATGTTTTTTTCTAAATTTTCAATTCTATTCTGTTTTTGATTGAGTTCATGAACTAATTGATGTTAGACCACCATTAAAACCTTGGAAGCACTGAACGGCCGTTTCATCCTATTGTGGAACTCCTCAGCAGTACGCATCCACGATCCTGTTCGCAGGATTTGAGAGAGGGAGAGAGTTTAATATGATAACATCTTTGAACAATAAAACGTTCCATTCATTATTTATATATATATAAAGATTAGTAGAAGTTTCAATTGAATATTTTTTTTAAAATTCATATTTAATTTTAGCCTTCAGATTACAAAACCGAAACAAATCTACCTTTAAATATTCAACCAAATAATATATCAGCTACTGTAAACTCACCTCAATTTTCATATTCATCACAATCACCATCACCATCATCATCATCATCACTATTTGATCAACCAACTACACTGATTAAAACATATGGAGATGATTCTGGTGATAAATGGACAGTTTATTATCGTAATCCAAATATACCTAATGTTTATATTGAATCAATAGATGATAATAAAACAACTAAACTACATGATCTATCTATATCGAATAAATCTAATTTATACCAAACTTCATATAAAACTCCTTTACAATATACAAAAGAATCTTCTTCACAAATTAATAATCAATTATTAACACCATATTCAAAAGATGAAACACAATTAAAACAAATCAATAAAATAGTAGCCATGGCAACTAAAACAGATATATCTAAAAAGAAACGTAAAAAATATCAATTTAATTTAATAAAACAAACTGAATATCTTATTGAAGCATTAGAATCATTAACAAATTCTATAAAAAAGAATAATATCAATCTTGAATTAGAATTAAAAGATTATGATTTAGAAAATAAACAATCATTATATATGATACAAAATAAAGAGATTAATTTACATAGAAATTCATCATTCACAACAAAATTACGTCCAAGAAGTTTAAATACAAAATATGGTATTAATAATCGACATGAATATAAACGTAAATCAGCTGGTTTAAATCATACAGATGAAATGAATCAAAATCGAATTGAAAAAGTAAGTATATATATATATATATATATGTATTATTATTAAGATTACTTATTTAAATAATAAAGTTAGTATCAGTGGTTGACATCATGATTCAGTTGAAACTAGATCACCATCATGGAAAACTTGAAAACATTGGATGTCCATTTTTGTACTATTGTGAGACTTCTCATCAGTAAGCATCCACGATCTTGCCTGGAGAGACTTGAACCAAAGACATATATACAATTGTAAAGCTTTGAAAATGAATTTAATGTCTTAATGGGTGTATTCTGTTTAGTAAAAAATTCCAATAGAAGATTTTTTTTTTGTTGCTATACTCGAATTAAATTCACTCTACAGTTTTATATTACTGTCTGATGTTTTTTACACAAATTATGACGAGTTTCTACAAATCTACCTTACTGTAAATCAAATGGGTTTGTTTTTTTAGTGGTCTGGGATCTAACTTTAATTAGATCATGTGTTGATCGCTATTGAATGATTTTTGCTATCGAAATTTGCATATCGCTTATTCTCGTATATTATAATCTACTTAACTAGTATTAGTGAATGACGAAAATAAAATAAGTCAAATACGAGAAAGTATCTCGAAAACGTATATTTTGTACAATCATTGATCTGAATAGATAATCAAACGGATGAAGCGAATAGAAAACAGTCAAACAAAATGATTCGCAGTGGAGAACGCATGTTAGACAACTCTATTTAGTTAAGGGTTAGTCAATATTTATAGTCACACAAAAATAAGCTACAGACATGTGATGAGTATGATAAGAAGCGTACATACACATACGCTCATCTAAGAATAGTTAAGGTTGTTAAGTGAATCATGATTAGATTGTCATATCCAGAAGCTAGAATAAGTTATGTGGGCTCTTAGCATAACAACCAAAACTACAGTTCTTCTATCAAATACATTTTAGAACACTTACTGAAGTACACATATTAAATGTACATTTTATTAATTTTATTTGGTAAAACCCAACTATATACAACTTATCAAGTGATAAAATATTGTACACAAAGTACATTTCAAAAGTTTTCCACCTTCAATATAGAATTATGAAATTCCTAGATTGAAATTTACATTTTATGAATAAATTCATTTAAATACAATGACAACAGCTTAGAAGAAGAGATATTAATTACTAAACAGTATTTAAGGATCACTTTATAGAAAGTTCAAATTACTAATATGATAATTCTTACCCAAAATTTCAGATAGTAACTAGCAATCGAAACTATAAAGCTTTTAAATTCACTTAGTATTGTTTTGTTTGAATCTTCCCATTGAGGCAATATGAACAGTATGCACATATGCTAATATGAGAGACTGATCAATGACATTTTTAAACATCAATAGGAAGATTTAAGCAACAACAAAAAATACTAAGTGAATTTCAACTTCACCCCATTGCACTAACAAGTGGCTATAAAGACTCAGTAGCTAAGTGGATAACACCATAGAGTTTGAAGCGAACGTTACTGGGTTCGAGTCCAAAAGTGGACATCAACTGTGAGATACAGGTACATCCAGTTGACGAGTCCAACATAAGACGAAACGTGCATCAAACTGGATTCCACTGATAGCCACTATCCATCTTTGCTCATAAAGCTTTTAGTTATGATATCATGATTTTATTAGTTAAGTATATATGGATTATAACATTGAGGCTGGAACTCATCAATTACTTCATTAAATGTTATGAAACACAATTGAATCACTGAATCAATACAGAATCTCTTTGGAAATCAATAATAAAACGTTATCTTATTCTAAATGTTGAAAAGTTCATTAAATGAAAGTTCAATCGGATATTTCGTTTACTTTTAACGAAACTTCATAAATTATTACAACTGTCATACCTTCAGTAATTAGACAGTTCTATTTGTAAACTTCTACTTTCATAATATAAAAACAACAATAATAATAACTGTTTGAAGTGAATAATTAGAAATGATTTGATAGATCATCATCCATTGAAATGTATCTTCAATCTATCTATATTTGATCAATAATTTCAAGGTGTTTTCTATATAAATGATCTACTAATTGAATGAAAGTTCAGAAATAGCAAGCATTGGTTTCATACTACATAACTTCAACAATAGAGTACATATCGAATGTAAATGAACACAGTTTAGCGAAACACTTTCTTATTATTATCATTAGTATTGGTATTAGTAATAATATTTAAAAACATTCACATTGGTACAACGATGCATCAAATAGATATGCACTACATAAACCATTCGATTTGTGTGAGAGCTGGGATACTGCCCAGGTGCCCAAGCCGAAGCAAGTGGTTTTCTTTGGAGGGCAACACCCGAAGCCTTCGACCTAAAAGTCTAATCCACAAGGCAGTGGAGCAACGTAAGGAGATGAAGTCTCATGGTAGCTAGTTACTAAAAGTAGGTTTATACACCATTTGTTTACTTAGAATCATGGATCCCATGTGCACTATTGGTTTAGAATCAGGGTTTTTAAATTCCCGTATCCACCAACCCCGTTAAAGCACCGGACATTCACTTTTTGTAAATAACGCCTTCGGCACAAGAAGGCAGTGAGTAGATCTTCCCTAGTAGTGGTTGTATGCATGTGGCCATGTGAGAGCATTTCGAGAGAGAGAAAGACAGAGGAAGAGAGCTGGCTCTCCCCTTTCCCAGCCGTACCAGAGCATTTTATTGGCCTGCTTAATGTTTCTCAGTGACACCTATAAATGATACACAAGATAAATTGGATCTATTAAAGCCATATTTCATAAAATCCATGTAGAAACTTGTAATCTACAACAAAATTAAAGAACAATCATTTACCAGTGATTAAAACTTAGTACATTAGTGCACTAGAAAGTTGATCAAAATATTGATTTTCTTATCAGAAACTAAAATTGATTCAAATCTACTTTAACAATCTTCATTATCCTTTAATAACTGATTTCTTCTAATGTTTGCTATTTCTGAAATTTCATTCAATTAGTAGATCATTTATATAGAAAACACCTTGAAATTATTGATCAAATATAAATAGATTGAAGATACATTTCAATGGATGATCATCTGTCAAATCATTTCTAATTATTCACTTCAAGCTGTTATTGAAGGTATGACAATGTTGTCAGGTAAAAGATATAAATTTTGAAAACTCTTCCAGTCTTCCATATTGTATGAGCACTCCGTGTACCTAAATAAATGGTTTCTCTGGTTGTTAGAAGGGGCATCGGCCTCGTGACTTCCGAAGGAACTCGGCTTTCATCATGAGGCGTCATAATTCTTCTAAACGAAGACCTCCTGACTCCCAGGGCAGAGTTTAAATGATTTGAATAATTTTTTCTGGTTGGCGTTTTTTTAGCGAGTTAGTTTTCTACGGGATGGGGTCGCTAACCCCATACCCAACCCTCCTCCCTTAGCCGGGCTTGGGACCGGCATTAGCCCCTGAAGGGACTCCAGGCGGAGTAGGAGAATGCTGGTCGGCGGCCTATGCTCCATTAGGAGTAACAGGCGTAAGTAAGTAAGTAAAAGATATAAATAGATTTTCGAAAAATTACGTTTTCTTAATCTGAGTGGTTTTCATGCTGACTATTTTAATGTAAAATTTAGATAATGTTAGTTCAGAATATCAATAGAAGACATGAAAACTAAGAGAAAAGTTGACGTAATTTCAGATCACCACCTGTTTGTAGTCAAGGTAGAACTGATGCTAAAGAAGTATTGGACAATTAAAAAAACAACATTATAAAAGTTCAGTACAACCTTTTTTCGAGATAATGATAAACTTCACGAATTCAAGAGTTCTCAGTAACGGTTTCCAAACCTTATAAAATTTACTAGAAGAAAATACTATGGAGTACAACTGAAAACGGATCAATAAAGCACTAACTTTAACGCGTCAGGAGGTTCTTGGCCATAAGAAGCATCATCATAAGGAATAGATGTCCATCAAAATCCTGGACAAGATTCAAGAAAGGAAGAACATGAAGGTAGAAATTGACAACAGTCGAACAAGAACAGAGAAAGTTATTCCACAGATCAAATACAAAGAAGCGCAGAAACAATTTAAAAAGAGGATTGAAGCTGACAAACAGAAATGTATGGAAGATCTAGAAATGACAGAAGAAAAAGATGCAGCAGAAGGAAATATGAGACCCATATTATACAGCGAAAAAACTAGCTGGACTGAGCGACCAGGCAAGGACAAAGGAGGCAAGCCAATCGCTGAAATTCAGGAGCAGTGAAACTAGAGAGTAAAACGCTTTTAAAAGCTCTTGAATAGACCAGTCTCACTGAATCTAGTGGACATCGAAGCAGCACATACAGACTTCTTATAGCTGTCACTTCGCCATCAATCGAAGAAATCAGCACCACCATACTACCTGAAGCTGCAAAAACGCTCAACATTTTATTCAGAAATAATTAAGAAGTGCCGATCAACCAGAAAGAAGGATACTTCATCAAGATACCAAAGAAAGGAGATCTCAGAAATCGTGAGATCTACATAGGCGTCACACTACTACAAGTACTAAAAAACGTTCTCATCAGAGTATTCTTGAATCCAATGAAAGATTCAATAAACGAAAACTTTGAAGTCGACAGGTTGGATTCCATAAGGATCCCGACATTACATATCATCACTGTGTTTATTTCCTGAACATCATTCCATTTGTCTGAATTTACTTATATGGTTCAGACCAACACCCACTCACTTCATAAACTAAATCCAAGAATAAATTATCTTCTTGCCTAACAATTCTTTTTCATTATCCCCCCCCAAAAAAAAACTGATGAAATTTCCATTTCTTGTCTTAAAACAACTTACAGTCTTTAACACACTCAAATGTTCAATTTGCCCAGAGAGATCATTAACAAACTGTTTAGTTATTTCAAATCATTTCCTTAGTATTTAACATGCTATTCGGATCCAATTTATTTTATTTATCACATGTATATGATCAATTTAATTATCCCCTAGTTACTCACTGATGAATGAAAAACTCTTAAAACACATTCTATGTAAGATGGAATTATATTTTCTCTTCTTTCTTTTTGTTGTCGTTGTTGTTGATGTTGCTGTTATCTAAATTCTATATAAATCTGTTTTTATTTGATTAAATGAATGAAGTCTAAGCTTTGTATGTGAATTTCAATAAACAATGTAATGTGTTCATTTTATACAAGTGTAAAACACTTAAACATGTTTCATTCATTTATGACAAACAAACTTGTATACGATTTGAAAGAAACAAGTAATTTCATTGTTTGATCTGTTATTGAGAGATCAGAATCTTTTTTTTTTTAAAAATCTAATTAATAATTCAAATCATGAACTAATTGATGTTAGACCACTATTGAAAACCTGGAAGCATTAAACGACCGTTTCGTCCTATTGTGAGACTCCTCAGCAGTACGCAACCATGATCCCACCTCGCGAGATTCCAACACTTAACTTCTAGACTACTGAGTTGGTATCCAGTGGTGTCAATGTCTAACCTTAACTAATCTTCGATTGTACTGAGGTAGATACCTGTCTCTACTCGACACGGATTAGCTCCACTGGTCAGGGCTTCTTACTAGAACTCCGAGAATTCCTATCCAGTGACTCCAGGTTTTCAATGGTGGTCTAATATCAATCAATTTATGATTACAATCAAAAACGTAATAATCTCCACAGTCCTATACTGATAATAATTCAAACTCTACTCATCTTTAAATTAGTATGTGTGTAGTTGGGTAGAAAAGTGGTTAGTGGAAGAATATAAGAAGTATGTTTCGTCCTATTCGAAACTCTTTAGCTGGATTTATCTACATCATGATGTTGATGCTCATACAGGGACTTGTGAATATCTGACAATATCGGAGTGATTCGCTTAGGTTTCCCACATACCAATTCCATATCTTTAGATAAGTGGAAGGATACAAATACTTATAGACTGATTTTATACAGTTTAAATGAATGAGAACCTATGTGAACAACTTAATTGTTTCAATGCATACTAAATCCTATAGTTGAATAACACATGTTACACTCATCATTAGGCATAATTAAAATGTTATTTTAATAGTTGAAATCATGAATCAACTGAAGCTAGACTACTATGGGAAACCTGAAAGCACTGGACGGCCGTCTTGTCCTATTGTGGTACTCCTCAGCAGTGCTCATGTCATGAAGCTGTCCTATGAGTTATAGATAATTTTTATCGGGGAATGCTTAGACTATGTACCCTATGTACCACAGTTGATATATATCTATTTAAGATTTAGGAACTAATTAGCTACTTAGTTGGATCATGTTGAACTCTGAATAAGAATACTTTTGGATTATTAATTTATTCCTTTGTTGATGCTTTTAAAGTGAACTTTAGTGATGGACGTGAATACTGGTTTATAAGCAACAGTTAGTTATGCAATCATCTATTAGTCTATTGAGATTTATTACTGTTCAATGACTTTTTGGTGGATTTTCGTCCCCTGAGCACGGTGTTTTAGCAGTTAAATTTTTATTATCACCAAAAACGTCTTCAGATAGAATAAGACTAAATGTTTCCAAATTTGACTGATACATTTTGTCTGTTAACCTTGATTTTAATCGTTTAATGTTGGTTTTTGTCTAGTCATTATCTACATATTTAGTTTGAGTGTTAACAGACTTCTCTCACCCTTTCTCTTTCTGCTGGTGATCGACTGGATTGTAAAGACGTCAACATCTGCAGGGAAGCACGGGATACAGTAGACATGTAGGATGCAGTTGAATGATCTAGACTTCACAAATGATCTGGCTTTTCTATAGCACACGCAACAACAAATGCAGGACAAGACAATCAGTGTAGCAGCATCCTCAGCAACAGTAGGTCTCAATATAAACAAAGGGAAAAGTAAGATTCTCCGATACAACACAACATGTACCAATCCAATCACACTTGAAGGAGAAGATTTGGAGGATGTAAATACCTTCACATATCTGGGCAGTATCATTAATGAACACGGTGGATCTGATGCAGATGTGAAGGCGCAGATCGGTAAGGCGAAATCAGCATATCTACCATTGAAGAAAATATGGAACCCAAAAGAACTGTCTGTAAGCCAACACTAAGGTCAGAATTTTCAATACAAATGTCAACACAGTTCTACTGTATAGGGCGGAAACCTGGAGATCAACAAAACTCATCATCCAGAAGACACAAGTGTTTATTAACAGTTTTATATTCAAAATACTTCGGATCCGTTGGTCAGACACTATAAGCAACAACCTACTATGGGAAAGAACAAACCAGACCCCAGTGGAGGAAGAAATCAAAGAGAAGCGCTTGAAGTGGATAGGACACATTGAGGAAAGCACCGAACTGCGTCACAAGGCAAGCCCTCACATGGAAACCTCAAGGTCAAAGGAGGAGAGGAAGACCAAAGAACACATTACGCCGGGAAACGGAGATATACATGGGAAAAATGAACAAGAATTGGATTGAACTAGAAAAGAAGGCAGAGTGGGACAGAGTGGGTTGGTGAATGCTGGTAGGTGGTCTATGCTTCATTAGGAGTAACAGGCGTAAGTAAGTGAACAAACTTGTCGTCTAAACATTTTGGCTAAATCATTGGATACATTGAAGTTTCCAGATTCGAAACCTTTAGGTGGTATCAAAAAATAATCTAGAACAGAATTAAGTATCGATATTCTTTCATCTTTAGTATTCTTTCTTAGGAATTGGACTTATACTTTTTCTTGGATCATATAATTTCAAATTTTCCCCACTTGTTTATAATACCAACATTTCGTTTTGTAAATCGTATTTCGTGTCGCCTTACTACTTACTAACCTTACTTATGCCTGTTACTCTCAACGGAGCATATGCCGCTGACTGACATTCTCTAATCCACTCTCTCCTCGTCCTTCCTTTCTAGTTGTATCCGATTGTTGTTTATTCTTCTCATGTCTGTCTCCATTTATCGGCCTAATTTGTTCTTTGGTCCTCTTCTTCTCCTTTGTCCTTGAAGATTCCAAGTGAAGGCTTGTCTTGTGACTCGGTTGGGTGCTTTCTTCAATGTATCTCCTATCCACTTCCAGCGTTTTTCCCTGGTTTCTTCCTCCGCCGGAATCTGGTTTGTTCTCTCCCACAGTAGGTTACGGCTGATAGTGTTTGTCTTATTGTATAAAGTCAATGTATTTCATATATTATTCGTAATAAAGTACCTTAATAATAAACATGTTTGTCTGGTTAGCGTTAAAGCTTTCTAATTAAATTGTTTTCTTAAGTTTACTATTTGCATCAACTAGAAACAATGTAACTTGTTCTGTATGACCTCTCAACATATTAATTCATTTATAAACAGTAATAATAATACTAATAAACGATAGACAATGTAAACAGATAGTAATAGTTGGTATATAAAATCTCTTCCCTCTTTTCTTTTACATTCATATCTATCTAATCAGGTTGCTGTTGAAGTACGTGTAGTATTTTTAAAAATTGGTGAAATAGATACATTGAAAGAGTTATATTATGCTGATGCATTTCTTCAAGCAAAATGGAGAGAACCAAAACTTGATGGACATACAGCTGAGGTAAGTTAATGGCTATAGTGATTATAATGATAACTTTATTGACAGATAAAATCTATAAATTAACATATGTCTATCTTATTTGATTCAACATTTCTACTTGTCTCATGAAGATGTACCACAAGGAGTTGTTCTTTCACTTCTTTGTTTTCTCTTTTTTTTTCTGCATGATCTGCTATCTTCTACAGAAGACACTTTTGTGAAATATGCGGACGATCTCATTGTATATATCCCGGTTTCTACATCTTTACATCCCATAGAAATGAATGAGTTTTTGTCTTATATCGAATGGTGGTCTGTTGTTAATCTTCTCATACTTAATCTGTCTAAATATCAAGTTGTTCATTTTAGCTTGAGACAACAAGAGTACCTAAACACCATGTTGGGGTCCGATAATGCTTGTGCCATTGGAGACTCTTTGATAAACACAGTGTGGAATGTCAATTATCTTGATATTATCTTTTCCTCTAATCTTTCTTGGTCTTCTCATGTTTTGCTGTTATCGAAGAAAGTTTTCCGTCGGACTTACTACATAAGGAGACTGCTTCTTTTTGGTATTCCTCAACATTTACTCTTACAATTTGTCAATTCCTGTATATTACCTATTATTCCTTACTGTTTTCTATTGTTCTTTCCTGGGCTTTTGAGAAAAGACTTTGCATCAGAAAAACTGGCTAGGTATTTCATAGCAAATTATATCACTGATCTTCAGAATCCCCTCAGAAAATAGTCACAATTTCTTATTCTTTGTGTAAGGTATGTGTCATATGTATCTATATATGTCTGTGGGACTTAAACTCATATCATATAGCTATACTGTTAGTAGAGGGACTCATATTAATTAGTATTTAGTGGTCTTATATGTGATTCCAAGTGGATCGTATGAATGCTTGCTGTCAAAATACATATATATCGTCAATCCTCATAAATAATTATCTGCTTAGGTTGCGTTAGTGAGCAATTGAATTAAATAAGTCGAATACGAGAATGGATGTTCGAATACGTGTATTTTGTACAATCACTGATCTGGGCAGACAATCAGAGGGATGTAGAGAAGGAAGGGAAGAAGAGAGAGCAAAGCAAAACGACGAGCAGTGAGTAGGATAAAAAATGTATACATATATGTTCTTATATAAGAACAGTCAAAATTGATAAGTGAATCATTAACGAGGTCAAAACATGACTCAAGAAAAATGAATAAATTGACATATCCAGAACCTAGAATAAGTTATATGGGCTTAATATAGTAACTGACACTACAAATCTTGACTGAAGCTATTCAGAAATAAACTTTATTCTAAAAATACATTTGATAAACGGAGAAAGAAACTAAATCTTTAGCTTTCTCCTAGTCTTTCTCAACATCAAACGTTCATTAATGCATTGAAATAGTATAAAAGAATGACATTCTGTTTAGAAATTTTTAGTATCATTACAGTCCTCTAATCCACATACAGGGGGTTATTAGCATTGTCCAATCGGGAAGCTACACTAAGGAATTCTAGAATATTCTTACAAAAGATGATTGGATGGAATATAATCGGCTCCATCTGAGTCGAACTTCCTCGAGTTCACTCGTGGTCCGTTCTCACACTATCCTATATGTGTTCTATTTTGTTTACTATTTTAGGAATTAAGTATTACTGAATTGGAACAATATTGGAATCCTTTATTGTATATTGATAATATATTAAGTGAAACAAAAGATACTCAATGGATAATGGCTGTACGAAATGAATATGGTGAAGTTTATTTAATGGAACGTAGACGTATTAAAGGTGTATTTTTAGAAACTTTGGAATTAAATGATTTCCCATTAGATGTACAGGTTAGCTATTATAAATTTATGTTTTATTTAATGCATTTTAAGATGTATTTACATGATCAACTTAATGTTTTATACACTTTTGAGTTCTAACTTAACATTCTACAAGTAGTAGTATTGTCCCGTGTTATAACTTGTGGGCTGAGTGCCCTGTTAATGGATAATGTAATGATATCGTCAATTAGAGATCAGTGACTTATCGATTGGATCAATGACGAAGAAAAACCGTACGAGCAGTCTAGAGTACTTATCAGTCCTTCTTCCTGCCTAGCTGAGCCAGTTAAGTCCAGAACACTAATTTCAGCCTCTGAAATATGAATCATGTATTTCAAACATACTGGGTTTATATACCAACCAGACAGACCACAACGTACCATAAAATAAAAAATAACGTTTGTACAAGAATTAGCCAAATATGGCTGTGAGTGTTGGAGGTAGTGGTCGATAGACCGGACATAACTCAAGAATGGTAAAACGTATAATAATAGTTCATATGTTAAAACAAAGCTTAGGATAAGAGGGACATGAATATGTATAGTTTAGTTATTTAACAACTATACGATAAAAAAGTATACACATAGTATTGGTCCATAAATGGATCCCGAAAGTTACCATTCATTATGCTTATCGGAACATAACATTCTGGAAATTGTAGCTTGTATATGTTGTATAAACTTTAATGATTTTACAACTTTTGTTTCATTTTAACAAAAACATTCATGAACTATTTTTGGTTTGTTTATCTTATCGAAATCCTGTGTCGAAAAGAATGTAAATTAATTGTTTATTGAGCGTTGGTCTAACCCATAGTATTGATCGTATTCAATAGATTAAATGAAATTTTAGATACTAGTCTAACGAACTTGTTACTTCATGCAATATGTTGAGATACAAGATGGAGGTTAGACGTAATATGCAAGGAAACCTACATCTTTGTTTTGTGCAAGCTAACAGTTTTCAGCAATTTATATATGTGATCTTAAAGGACTTGATGCTCCCTATGTGATTCGAACCGTAATCAACCAGTGTCTTGGTCTTAGATGTTACTACTGATCTATTCAGTTTGTGATTGACCTCTTGTAGAACAGAGATGTTTGTAATGATTGATCACTTAAGAGAGGCTCACACCATGGTTATATCCAATATCAAACATCAAAACATTCTGTATATATAACATCAAGTCACTTTGACTAGCAACTACATTACACTTAATTTAGTTAGCTCTAAGAAATAAACTATCAGGCAACTAGCAAGAAAATATGTTCCATAATAAGATTCAAATACGGTTGTAAACTAAAGTTTTTTTTTTAATTTTTCATACATGTGAATATTAGATAAACCTTCATTTGAATTACTCACTATACAAGATTCAAAGTATTGAATGTCTTAGATGGTGTTTTTATTCATCAACTTTAAATAACTTCAATCATTGAAATTAAAAGAGAATAATTATATTTACCCATTGTTAGGTATATTAATGCTTATTAGTTTTGATAGAGTTTTATTCTCTGAGCTGGATCGTTTAATTGTGGAGCTTTCATCCAGCTCAGAGAATAAAACTCTATCAAAATCATCCACTTGAGCTACAAATCTTCTTCATCATCTCAATGCTTATTGGTACATTATCATTTAATACCACTGAGTTGAAAATGATATTTACTCCTTTGAATCGTCAGTAATCAATGTAAAATAAAGTATATAGTACCATTTAATGTCCAAACAAAGAATAATAATCTAGTAGTTTTTTTATAAACTCAGAGTAAATAGTGACAGTCAGTGGGGAACAGCGTCACCTAGCCGTAGTAACTCAATGATAGTTTTCATTTATACGATGATATGAAGTTTTAATACGATGAGATGCGCATGTGTGAACAATGATGATAAAGAGAAACTAGATTGTATTAATCAGTATTATGCCCATTGATTAGTGAGTATCTTTGTAGTAGTATTTATTTATAGGCATGATCGATATGCTAATATTCTAATCAAATGGAATAAATAAAATATTGAATAAAGTCATGAATAATAATAATAATAACAGTTGCCTCAAGGGTGACTCCTTTATAACTGTATGCATTGATTATTTAAGATTAATGGTCTAACATCAATCGGTTCATGATCTCAATCAAAAACTTAATAATCTCCACAACCCCTATCCTAATAAGAATTATATGTTCACTAGAGATAGACTTTAACATGGATTTCTACCGTTCTAGAGTGGATTCATGACTAGTATGATTTTAATTATACGGAGTATAAAAGTAGCTCCCCTGAAGCTAGTCTTTATTACCTAACGTGTACCCAATGTGTTTCACTGATTCCAAGCACCTCCAAGTTGTGTCTTTTCATTTCTGCAGTAATATGAATGACTCTCCCAGTCTCTCATATTGTACGAGCATTCTATGTATTTAAATTAATGGTCGCTCTGGTTTTCACAAGTGGTATCAGCCTCGTGACTTCCGAAGGAAATTGGCTTTTACCATAAGGCGTCATAACTCTTCTAAATGAAGACCTTCTAATTCCCTGGTCAGAGTTTAAATGATATGAATTATTATTTTAGCAAGTTACTTTTCTACAGGATAGGATCATTAACCCCATTTCGAACACTCCTGCTTTATCCGAACTTGGAACTGATAGTCGCCCCAAAGGGGTTACTAACGGAGTTTTCAGTTATACACCATCAGGTCATTATCACAATAATATCAGAAACTAATTAAACAGTGAAACACAATATTCATATATCAAATTATTAGCCAAAATGTACTGTATTTCATGTCTAGCCAAATTTTGAGTGTTCTTCCGGAAGAACACCTACTTCAAAAAGGATCAAATTTTGAGTATTCATTAATGAAATATTCTCTGATTTGTAACATTTCTATCTGTAAAAAGAAACTTAGCGCTAGAAACCACATATACAAAAAAGAAAACAAAATAATTTACTACTATATGTATAGTTTCGTTTTTCTATTTATTTACTGACTATGTTTAGTGTTCCAAATAGTCATAGATACTGTAAATTAGAGCATTGGATATAAATTACCGGTTAGCATAATAAAGTATAAATATATATGTGTGTATGTGTATGTGTATGTACGAATGTATGTAAGCATGTATGTATGTATGTATATATGTATGCGTGTGTGTATGTATGCACAATATGAAATGTAACATCCAGTTTGTAATCTGTGTAGATTGTATGGATGGTGGATGGATATTTAACCTAATCTAAATACATTACAACAATGAATATAAATCCAATTTTCAGTTCAAGCATTGTTCTTTATGTTGTAATAGTTAGGTAATATTATATATAATGTAAAATGTATCCATTATTTGATGAATGCTTTCTACATTACATCCTTATTTGTTACAGTATTCGTTAAACTTTGGATAATAAATTTAGTGTTTACAAATTGATAAATATATATGTATTCTTTAACTAGGCATAACCTTTGTTGTTACATGAATAAATCAAACATCATTTCCCGTATTTTGTTGATTTTCTATTTATGCAATGATTTATAAAACACTTACTTACTTACGTACGTCTGTTACTCCTCGTGGAGGAGTATAGGCCGGCCACCAGCATTCTCCATCCAATTCTGTCCTTGGCAATCTTTTCCAGTTTTTTCTAGTTGTTATTCATTCTTTTCATATCTGCTTCCAATTTCAGACGTTGTGTATTCTTTGGTCTTCCACTTTTCTGTTTCCTTACAGGATCCCAAGTTAAGGCTTGTTTCGTGATACAGTGTGGTGATATCCACTTCCAACATCTTTTCTTAATTTCCTTTTCAGCTGAAAGCTGGTTTGTCCTCTCCTACAGAAGGTTAATGCTGATATTATACAACCAATGGATATTGAGTTTCTTGCGTAGACAACTATTTATAAATACTTGTACCTTCTTGATGATGGTCGTGGTACTTCTCCACGTTTCAGCTCCGTATAGTAGAACTGTCTTGACGTTCGTATCGAATATTGCGACTTTGATACTGGTTGACAGTTATTTTGATTTCCATATGTTCTTCAAGTGTAGGAATGGAGCCTTTGCTTTGTCAATCTTCACCTTTATATCTGAATCCGATCCTTCTTGTTTACAAAACACTAATACATTTTATTTATATGTTAGTTCCATTTGTAGGTATTAATGTCATGATTGAACTTGATAGTTCCAAATAAATTAAGAATTGTGCAAATAGTCAATAATAAGTTATTTTATGGTATTCTAATAAATAGAAAATTTGTATTTTAAACGTTTTGTACCTTAATTTAAGCCACTTCTTCAGGGTAAATAAATAACTGTAATAAAATTAACACAAGTTTATTTATTAACTCTGAAGAAGTGACCTACATTAAGTCACGAAACGTCGAAAGTACAATTTTTCTACTCATTAGGATACTACAAAAAAATATATTTGTTACTAACTGCATTTGTTATGCAATCCATATTCTATCAAATAAATCTTCCTTGTCAGATGATACTTTAAAAAGGTAATGATACATTCTAATCAATTAATAAATAAGCAAAGAATATAAAGACGTCATTTAGAACTAATGAACTAATGCATTCATTTTTATCTAAAATGTAGCCGATTGTTGGCCAATAGCCTTTCAAGACTCTATTTTATTGTTCAGTTATTAGGTATGATAGCGTTTTTAGCGTTTTTTAGCGAGTTAGTTTTCTACGGGATGAGATCGTTAACCTCATGCCAAACCCTCCTCCTTTATTTGGGGTTTGGGACCGGCAGTCACCACTGGAGGGACTCCAGGCGGAGTTATTAGGTGTGATACTGTGATTAAATATAGTATCAAACATTCAATAACGTAAAAGGCTTTATTGAAGCATCGATCATTGTATCAATAATTAATGTATACTGACATTCATTAAGCTTATCTCTAATTCAAACTCCACTTCCACTAGTTTGGATATGAGCAATCAAGTTATTTGATAACCCTTCTTCTATGCACAAACAGTTTGGCTCGAAATTAAACATATGAATCCATATATTACCATAAACTACTTACGATTGTTAGTGAGCCCTATATGAAGTTCCAATTGGTTACATTGTTTCCCTATATCATTATAACTATTACTGTGTATAGATCTAGTGTGTTCTTTCTTCTTTATTTATCTAGGATTTAACTATTACTGTGACAACAGAACGACCTGATACAGAAGTTGATATTATTCCTGATCAAGTAGAAATGTCTGCTATCAATATACAAACATTTGTTGATCAACAAGTAAGTAATATGAGTGAGGTTTACCCGGGAGAGTTGTTTACATGATATGTTGTATCATTTAAATTCTAAAGAGAATTTATTCAAATTATAATCGAAATATTTAAATGGATTGTTATGCAAAATGAGATCTTCCAACTCGGTAGTAAAGTGTTTCGGGATCTGGTTTACAAGCGATAGTTTATACTTCTCAGCTTGTTTTACAAAGGTATAACGATGGACTCTTTTTTTTGCAACGTCATCAATTGAAACAGTAACAATTACAACACTTACCTATTCCAACTAACAATGTGACAATTGATTTCTAATTTCATAACCATAAATGTTGTGCTAAAATCTTGTGAGTCGATGACTATGTAGTCGATTGTTTGAAATAATATGAAATAGAGAAGAGTTAATTTCAAATGAACGGCCGTCAGCCAATAGAACAATCTGTCAAAACAGTAAAGCGCTTTCTTACTCCGTAAAACAACACTACCTAACAATTTTTTTAGTTGACATAATCGTTATAAGAACCTGGATATTGATTTTTTATTAGTTGACACTTGTTAACTGAGTATATGTACAATCGTGAAAAAGTGATATCAACTAGGATTTAAAGGTCAGTGTCACTCAATTTCACAGCCTGACGTAAATTGATTAGGTTTATAAGGAACGAGACTGTCTCTGACCATGAACTCGATCAAGATTTGAATTTTAGGTTCAGCGCTTTCATTCAATCACATCTAACAACGCTCATGGTGATGATGAATCATTAAGGCTAGTGGTTGGATTGAAATTCGACCAATAACATTGTAGTAGAAATTCAATTACCGAACACTGGTTCGTCCTAAGATGATTCGTCAACGCATTGGTTAGAATCTACATACATTATGACACTCGATAATAGCTGTAATTGACTGACTATAAAATGATCTAGTCGGTTATTTTGTCTGTCATAACACATCAACAACAGCATCCAACGGTGTTAATGTCTAACTCAACTATTAAAATTACTATAATATCCACAAAACTTTCTCCGAGATTAATCAACGTATGCTCACCAGTGACTGGTTTCAAAATGTATATCCTGGAGTTCTGGTGAGAAGAAGTGACCAGTGGAGTTCAACGGAGTTTATTTATTATATTAACACATAGATATTAGTACAAGGAGGCACCAAATACGGGAGTTAGTTGTGGAATAGTAACTCACTGAAGACAATGGTGAATGTGTCGCTTAATTTCGTGGATTAGTTTAAATTAGACATTCACATCGTTGGATACCGACGGCTCAGTGGTCTAGTGGTTAAGCACTCGAGCGCGAGACTAACAGATCGTGGGTTCGAATCTCGTGAGGCTGGATCGCTGCTGCGCGCTACTGAGGAGTCTCAAAATAGGACGAAACGGCCGTCCAGTGCTTCCAGGTCTAGCATCAACTGACTCATGATGTCAACTATTACGTATTTCATAACCTTAAGTAAATTGTTAAACGTTTACTGGGATTTCAGTTCTCAGTGAGTCATTGATAGTTCTGAACAACATCTGAAATTTGATCTGACACCTACACTGATGACACAGGATATTGAAATTATATGCTTTATACAATACTATATTGTTGATAAGACGTTTAAAAGCACATATCTCCAATAATATTAAGTCTGTATTAAAGACTGTCTCTCATTACTTCTCAAACCCTAATTACTTGTCTATAAAAATTATATCTTTTCACAACACATTCTTCCGAAATACTTCACGGTTAATCGCTTTCGAATATATGATTATTTTCTAGAAATGTTGGTTCTGAAAATATTTATTCCCTTTGATTACAGTATTCGACATGAACTAGTATCAACTAAAGAATCTCTAAAAATCAGTATGTGACACTTGTTTCATCTTAAGTTGAAACTTAGCAGATATATAAACAAATAGTCTATATGTGTCAAGTCTGAAACACTGAGTTTAAATTTTTGATTGTGATCATGAATTGATCGATGGTGGTCTAACATTGATCGATTGATGATCTTAACAATCTCCACAACCCCATACTGATAATTATCATGTGCTAACTGGTGACTAGCTTTGTGAGGTGATTCTCGGAATCCTAGTGCAAAACCGTGACCGGTGGGGCTAATCCATGTCAAGTAGAGACAGGAATCTACCTCAGACAATGAAAGATGGTCGCGCAATTTCATGAATTGATTGAGGTTAGACAGTATCACCATTGAATGCCGGCTCAGTGGTCTAGAGACCAAGTGTTTGCGCACGAGACCGAAGGCCCTGGGTTCGAATTCCACCAAGCAGATGCCCACTGCTGTGAAGTTCCATACTAAGACGAAACGTCTGTTCAATTCTTCCAGGCCTCAAATGGTAGTCTAACATCAATTAATTCATTATCTCAATCAAAAAGCCTAACAAATCTCCCCAACTTCATACTGAATTTAAATCCAATAATCCAGATTTCCGACTATAATCAAGTCTACACTCTACCTATAAGCTGACATGTATAGTTACCAGTGGAAAAATATCCCCGAAAAAATCCATAGTTTTTATTTTTATCGAACTGCCCCCCCCTCAAAAAAAGAATGTTTATCTTTAAATGTTGTAATCATGTCCACATTCAAGATAATTGTAGAATCATTTGAAAACAACCAAATTATTTTCTTACTTTTTTTATCGTTTTTTTTTCTTCTAATTTGTTTCTTTCTACTTATCTGAACAATTTCAGAAATCAATAATTAGTCACTTTGAACTGATCTCTTGATAAACAAATAGGTTGTTTATTTATTTATTTATTTTTGTAATAGATAAACAAACAAATAAACTGAATTGTTTTCTTATGAAAATTTAATGTCTAACTTCAGTGACACATTCACCATTGTCTTCAGTAAGTTACTATCTCACAACAGACCCCGTTGAACTCCACTGGTGATTGCTTCTCACTAGACTTCCAGGATATACATTTTGAAACCAGTCACTAGTGAGCATATGTTGATTAATATCGGAAGGTGTTTTGTGTAGATTTTAGTAATTTTAATTGTTGAGACCATGAAGTTAGATAATAACACCATTGGATGCCGGCCGGCTCACTGGTCTAGTGGTTAATTGCTCGTGCGCAAGACTGATAGGTCCTGGGTTTGAATATCGCGAGTGGCGAGATCGTGGATGCGCACAGCTGAGGAGTCCCACAATAGAACGAAGCAGCCGTCCAGTAATTTAATAGTCGAATTCACGAATCAATTGAAGTTAGATTAACATGGGAAACCTAGAAGTATTGAATAGTTGTTTCGTTCTAGTATGAGACTTCTCAAAAGTGGGTTTGCACGCTAGATTGATAGATCCCGGATTCATATCTCATGAGGCAGGATCGCGAATCCACATTGCTGAGGAATCGCATACAAGGACGCAACAGCCGTTCAGTGTTTCCAAGTTTTTCATGATGATCTAGCTTTAGTTGATTCATGAAGTCAACTATTAAATCAACTATAACATTTACAAAACCCCTCTCTTTTTATAAGAGTATTCAAGTGAAATAGAAAAAGAAAGATTTTAGTGTTACAATAACCAAAATCAAACAACAGTAAACATGAATAATTATAATGGTAAATGTAATATGTATGTAAACATTTCTAAAATAAGATATTTCATACAAATCTCATCTTAGTGATAGATTGAGTGAAACGGTAAAGTCTTTTGTCTTTTTATATAAGAAAACTTTATACAATCCCAACATACATTCAACTACTTGCTAGATTTTAGTCATTTCAAGATTATTACTCAATATAATCGTATTTATAATGTTTATTAGTGTTATAAATAAGAATTAAACTGATCGTTTCAAGAGATTTCCTATGTGTTATAACCTACTTACTTACTTACTTACCTAGTTACGCCTGTTACTCCTTGTCGAGGAGCATAGGTCGGCTGCCTCGTGATTCAGTTTGATGAATTACGTAATGTGTGTCCTATCTATTTTCGACGTCTTTTCTTAATTTCCTCTTCTGCTCGAAGCTAGTTTGTTTTCTCTCACAGTAGACTGTTGCTGATGGTATCCGGCCAATAGATGTTGATTATCTTATGTAGACAAGTATTTATAAATACTTGTACCTTCTTGATGATTGTTGTAGTAGTTCTCCACGTTTCAGCTCCCTACAGTAGAACCGTTTGTGCTATAATTGGCCAAATAAAAAGTGATATTATTTAACACAAAGTTTTATTCAATTTATTTTAACTCATCAACATTGATACAACGAGGCACTAAATAAATATGCTCCACATAAATCATTCGATTTATTTAAAGGCTAGGGTGCTTCTCAAGTGTCCAAACAGAAGTAGGTGGTTTTCATAGAAGACCGCACTCCGAGCCTATGACCTTAAAGTCTAGTCCACAAGGTAGTAGAGAAACGTAAGGAGATGCAGTCCCATGGTAGCCGGTAACCAACAATAAGTTTATAAACTATTTGTTTACCTAGGATCATAGAGCCCATGTGCAAGAGTGATTTAGAATTAGAGTTTTCCAACTCCCCTAGGTGGACTCTCCGTGTCCACCAACCTTAATAAAGCGAGAGGCATTCGCTTTTCGTCCTCTCAATTTTTTAGACAACATTAATGCCGCAAGAAGACAGTGAGTAGGATTTCCCTTGTAGTGCTTTTATGCACGTGGTCATGTGAGAGCACTTCGAGTGAGAGATAGTTGATTCTCTCCACTCTGGATAGTACCAGGGCATTTCTTGTAAGAAAGTAAGTACGACAAATAGATGAAGGTTTATTCTATGGCAACAACAGATAATAAGTACATTTACACTAATAAACAATGAAATCTTGATCAAATTCAAATAAACAATGATTTAAATCAATAATTTAATAGTTGATTTCATGAGTCAATTAAAGCGAGACCGCCGTGGAAAATCTGGAAGCACCGGAAAGCCGTTTCGTCCTAGTACGGGACTGCTCAGCAGTGCAATAATTCATTATATGAACACAATTTATAACATTTTTAAGATCGAACTGATAAATTCAATAAATTA